ATCCCAGTGGTCCAATATAGTTTCAACATCTTGAACTGGACTCTAAATGACATCAGACAAATGGATTCTAAAAAAGAAAGCTTCTTTCTAAGTATAAGATGCATCATCCAAAGGCTGATGTAGACCGTCTATACATACCCCGTAAAAAGAAGGTGGAAGAGGTCTTATTCAGCTAGAATTGTCATACAAGACAACAACTATTGGCTTACTAACACATGGAAACAACAAATGACTGGATGATAAAATTAGTGAAACAACATGAAAACAGAAAGAAAAAAATATTCAATAATAAAAAGAAGGCAGTAAATACAAACAACATTTACATTTAGTAGATTCTGTAGTAAATCAAAACAGAAGCCAAGAACCAACTATTGCAGCAAAAGATATGAAAAAGAAAGCCAAGGATAAAGCCCTTGAACAGATGAAACAACGCTGGCAAGACAAACCTCTGCATGGCCAATATCCAGAACGTGCAAATAAACCCAATGTTGATAAAGTTAATACTCATCGATGGTTACGAGCATCTGGATTAAAGTCTGAAACTGAAGGCTTTATTCTTGCAGCGCAAGACCAGAGTCTTTTCACTAGGAATTTTCAGGCAAATATCATACATAATAATGTGGATCCAAAATGCAGGTTCTGTGACAAATACCAAGAAACAATAGACCATCTAATCTCAGGATGTTCTATACTTGCCCCAAATGAATATAAAAATCGTCACGATAGAGTGGGGCAATACTTACACTGGACAATATGCAAACACTTTGGAAAATGTGTAAGCAAACACTGGTATGAACATCGGCCAGCGCCGGTTACAGAAATAGAAGATGTCACCATTCTATGGGATTATACCATCCACACAGACAGAAAAAATTGAAGCAAATAGGCCGGACATTATTGTCAAAAAACCAGAAAGAAAAAACTTGCCTACTAATTGATATGGCTTGTCCAGCGGATTGTAACATAGCAACCAAGGAATTTGAAAAACTATCAAAATACAAAGACCTGGAAATTGAAATAGAAAAAATGTGGAAATTGAAAACAAGAATAATACCAGTGGTAATAGGTGCACTTGGAATTATAAAAAAATGGAACAAAACAACACACTGAAAGAATCCCTGAAACCCCAGCTTAAGAGACATACAGAAAATTGTCTTATTAAGTACAGCACACACACTAAGGAGAACTTTGTCTATGTAACGCTAACAACTTCATCGGAGATAAAAAAAAAAAAAAAAAAAAAAATTAACATGAAATGTGGCCATAACAACACACCACGACCTGCCTTAGGTCTTTCCGCAGACTTGGTAGGTAGTGTGTCCATAGCAGAAATAATAATAATAATAATAATAATAATAAAATAATAATAATAATAATAATAATAATAAGAAGAAGAAGAAGAAGAAGAAGAAGACGAACAACAACAACAACAACAATAATAATAATAGCAGAAGTAGTAGTAGTAGTAGTAGTAATAATAATAATAATAATAATAATAATAATAATAGGACAATCAAAGCTAATTGCTCAGGCATCGTGATCAGAGAACGCAAGAACAAAATGTGCCTCCTTATTGACATGGCAGTCACTGCAGATTGTAATGTAACTTTGAAGATCTTAAAAAAAAAAACTATCAAAATACAAGTCCCTTCAAATCGAAATCTCAAAAATGTGACGCACGAGGACATTAACAATTCCAGTTGTGGTAGTTGAAGCCCTTGGATTGATTGGAAATAATTCCAACTCCGGTTGGCTTAAACGAATACAAAAATTGTACTCACAACTACAACCCACACTTTACGAAGATCTTTATATATGTAAGATGTGTGGGATCTTAGTTGATTTTACCTTTATTTTTCTCAAAAATGTTCAGTGCAAAATGTCATGATGACAATTCTGAACTTAGGATTCTGGTTGGGACACGGAAAAAATGAGTATACACCAGAAACCATATAAGATAAAATAATAATAATTATATGAAGAAAAAGAAGAAGAATTCTCTTATTATTATTATTATTGTTGTTATTATTATTACACCAATTAAATGAAAAGCGCGATTTAAGAAAAGAAAAATATATGATTTGACAATGTTAAATAATATTTGATAAGAATGTCTGTTTTTAAATTATTTTTTTTCAATTTCAATTCTAAAAATATATAAATCTAGAAAAATTATAAGTTTTTGCATGAACTTGATTGTTTTGTTTTTCTTTTCTCAAAAAATTTGTATAAAAATTATATTTGCAAATTTTTATATATATATATTTTTTATACTTGAATGTTTCTTAAATATAATTTGAAATGTTGCTTAGCATTAACAAACACAGTGTATTTTACTTTTCTTTTTCTTCCTTAAATCGTGCTCTTCTCTTAACTGTTGAAAAATATTGAAAGCGTTATGTCAATTCTTTTGTTTAGTATAATTATTTTCTTTCCGGTCTGCAAATAATCATTTTTTGAGGAATAAAAAATACACAACTAAGGTCACACATAATTTACCTTTCTTAAGATTCAGGCTTTAATTTTGAGTACAGTATCTTTTATTTCTTTAAAACACTGGGTTACCAGGAATCCCATCAATGTGTCTACTGGAATCTTTTCCAATCATTCCGAGTGCTCCAAGTACAGTTGGACTTGTTGATATCCTCATATGTTACATTTTAGAGATTTCGATTTTAAGATCCTTTTATTTTGATTGTTTTTGAAAATCTTCAAAGATAAATTGTAGCCTACACAGACTGCCATGTTAATTATGATGCACATTTTGTTTTTATGGAATTTCATCACGATGTCTGGGCGTTTAGCTTTGATTGTTCCATTTGTGTCTATTGTAAAATCCCATCAAATTTGTACAGGTCATACTTCCGTAACGGGGTCTGTGTGGTTTTCATATCAATTTCTTGCTGTTTCTTTTACGTAAAAGTTGCAGATTTTCCAATGCAAATATTGACCAACTCTGCCATGCCGGCTTTTATATTCAATAGTTGTCAGTGCCGTACAACCTTATAAAGATGGTCAATAGTTTCTGGAAATTTATGACAGAATCTGCATTTTGGGATAACATGATTATTCAGCATGTGTGCTTTTTAATTTCTATTTAGCAAGTATTTGTTCTGTGTAGCAAGAATAAAACCTTCGGTTTCAGCTTTTAACCCTGGACTACGTTGCCACTGTTGGGTATGGACTTTGTCAACATTAGCTTGTTTGGTATGGGCGTAATATTGACGATAAAGAGGTTTATCCTGCCATCGTTTCTGTATCAGGTCGATCGTATTTTTCTTTCATTCCTTTTAAGTTTTTTGCAGCTGCGGTAGTTGTATTGTTTTACTGGCATTTCTCCACTAGCTTGAAATTCCATTTTGAACTTGTTGGCTTCCTTTAATATTATTATTATTATTTTCTTTGATTTCTGGCGTGTACACATTTCTTTCCAGGTCCCGCCCAGGGACCTAAGGTTAGAAATGGCGTCATGCTACTTTCCACTGACAAAAAAAAAACATTGAAAAGCCCTTCGTAAAGTGTGGGCTGTACTAGTCAGAACAATTTTTTGTATCTCCTTGAAGCGTGGACTTCCAGGAAACCTTTCAATTAGTCTACTGCAATCTTTTCCAACCAGTCCTAGGGCTCCAGCTAAACAGGGATCGTTGATGTTCCCATATGCAACATTTTCAAGATTTCTATTTCAAGGTCCTTGTAATTGACAGCTTTTTGAATATCTTCAAAGATACATTGCAGTCAGCAGGGACTGCCATATCAATAAGAAGGCACTTTTTTTGTTTGTGGTCTTTAATAACAATATTTGGGCGGTTGGCTTCGATTGTTCTGCCAGTGTGTATTGTGTAGTCCCATAGAATTGTAACAGGTCCTATCTCCGTAACCGGGTCTGGTTGGTGTTCATACCAGTTTCTTTCAGTTTTCTTCCCGTAGATGTTGCAGATTTTCCAGTGCAGATATTGGCCCACTCTGCCATGCCGGGTTTTATATTCAGTGGGTGCCAATATCAATTATTATTATTATTATTATTATTATTATTATTATTATTATTATATATTCTTCTTTGATTTTTTCCATCGGTTTGATTAAATGTCACCTTAAATACGTTCGAGTTACTTTTATTAGAGTGTCTGGTTTGAATTTCTTCTTCAGAATCACATTCATTTTCAATCTTTGCTTGTTTTCTGCTTATCTAGTTTGAAGATTTATATTCTCCATCAAGCAACGAACACCCGTCCTGGGTATGACGATACGCTGCATCCGAGTCCTGGGTAAGACGATAAACTATGTCTAGCAGCAAAGCCTCTGATCATAAGGTTTTGAGAAGCGTGGAATCACCTCTTATTTGCTGGTGTTTCCATGTCCACCCTGACCCGGTGTGGTAGCACCTGTTAGGGGTCACAGCTATGGCCAAATAGTTGGCCCCACAACCTGACTCAAGATACTATGCAAGTGTAAAAATAGATTTTAATTCCAGAAATACTTTGGAAAAAATTAGTATCAGCAATAAATATTAGAAAAAAGAAAATATTACCAGAAATAAAAATCTTGTCAGCATTAAATGATCCATTGAGGTTAATATGCCACATAGCAAAAACCAAACTATACATTTTTGAAAAAAAATATTACCAGCTATATATTTTTGGAAAAAAAATATTTCCAGCTATACATTTCGGAAAAAGTTACCAGCTATACATTTTTGAAAAATAAAGGAAATTTTGTCGGCATTAAATAAGCCATTGTGGTTGAAATGCGTAAAACAAACCAAACCAAAACAACAAATCCACTATTTTATAGCATGTATTTAAAGTATATGTCATGTTTATGAGATATAAATGACTTTATTCATCACACACAGAGAACGATTTTATAAAGCGCTGACAATTAACTATGTCACATAGTTAATTTGTAATATGTTCGACTCAGTGGGCGACACTCACATTTTACCCCCCGCCTCGCTTACCTAAACTTAATATTTACCGACTGCCCATTGAACGACGGGGAACATGCAGGTTATCTATCTATCTATCTATCTATCTATCTATCTATCTATCTATCTGGATGTTTATGTGTGTCTGTATCTCTCTCTCTCTCTCTCTCTCTCTCTCTCTCTCTCTCTCTCTCTCTCTGTTCATATCCATCTATCTCTGTATATACGTATGTATCCCTCAGAAAACGATCACTATCCGGATTACTTCGGAAGTGTTCTTGTCAAACTCACTGCCTCCGGGCAGAGAGGTACCCAGACGAGGCTGTACTGGAGGGTAGAGTCTCGTCTGCAGTGGTAGACAGCTACCTGACCCCGGTTTCACGGGGTCTACGGGGAAATTTTGTCCGAGCCTACAGGCTCGGATACCCCACAATAAACTCGGCCTTGTGCCACATCCGACCGCGTGGGGCGGTTAGTGAATATCATCCCCCAGAGAAAGAAACCTGTCGGCTAAGATGTTTTCCTTTAGTCTTTATTCATATTGACCTTTTAATACTGTATGTGAAATTTTGCACACCTTTATTCATTTTTCTCTATCTTCATAGCTAGGTTGCTAGCTATCAGTCTGTCTCTTTTTCTGTTCATATATCTATCTATCTATCTATCTATCTATCTATCTATCTATATATATATATATATATATATATATATATATGTGTGTGTATATAAGTGTATACATATATATATGATTATATATATGTGTCTATAACAATATCTATATGTATCTCTCTCTCTCTCTCTATATATATATATATATGCGTGTATATATATGTGTATATATGTGTGTATACATACATGTGTATATATATATATATCTATAACAATCTCTCCCCTCTCTCTCTCTCTATATATATATATATATATATATATATATATATATATATATATATAATCGTCATAATCCATCGAGTTTCGTAACATTATAATCTATTTCTTTCATATCTATCTATCTGGTACTCTATCTATCTATCTATCTATCTATCTATCTATCTATCTATCTATCTATCTATCTGGTACTCTATCTATCTATCTATCTATCTATCTATCTATCTGGTACTCTATCTATCTATCTATCTATCCATCTGGTACTCTATCTGGTACTCTATCTATCTATCTATCTATCTATCTATCTATCTATCTATCTATCTATCTATCTATCTATCTATCTATCTGGTACTCTATCTATTTACGTCTGTCTGTATCTTTCTATTTATTTCTATTCATATCTTTGTTACTGCAGTCTATCTCTTTTTACCCCACTGTAAAATTGTCACCCTCTTTAGCTATGAATTATTTACCATCAATAATATTTCATCCAACCTCTCTACCTATTTGTTTTTTTTTTTCTCCTAATTTGAGCGAACCGAGATTCAGCTGTAGCTTCCGCTCAACTTAGATAAAAATGAATGAACGTTCCAGATTGACTTGTAATTATAGTTAAAGCAATACCTGAGAACTTCCCAAATCGAACTTCTAGTTTACCCGTCTTAAAAAAAAACGTTCCTCTAAAAATTTGTAAAAGAAATTATTTCTCACTATTTTTTCATTCAAAATTTATTTGCCTTATATTCTTTCGTTTTTATAGAGGCAAGAGTTTGCGTTCTACGTTTATCTGTGTGAAAATATTCTCTTTCATCCACACTTTTAAGCGAGTAATCATTACAAGGTCGCTTTCTCCGTAATTTCATACGTTTCTCATAATCTCATCCAATTTCAAATCCCCCCCACGCTTTCTGATTATTTTTTTCTATTTTACTAGAAATATTTTCATCCTATGTAATTTTCTTTTACTTTAAACTTAATAAATTTGATTTAGGCTCGAGAAATTGTGGAAAGTCGAATGGCGTAAAGAAATGTTCAACGTAAATGTCTGTTTAGCTTTTCAGCCTCTACTCTGTTTTATTCTGACCTGCATTTCGTTTTTCTTTCAAAACGTTTTCTCTTCTTATTTTCTTTCTTTGTCATTCATTTTAATATTTCAATCTTTTTATTGTCCTTTTTATTAAAATGGCATTGATTCATTTACTCAAATATATTGACATTTTTTTATTATATTATTAATCGTTTTTCCTTCATTTTAATTTTCATTTTTTTTCTTCTTTCATTCATTTGACCTGTTCTCTTTTATTCTTTTTCTCTCTTCTTTTATTTTCTTCTTTTATGTCCACTTTTCTCAGAGATTAGTCTTCTTTTATTTTAGTCTGTTTACATTCTTCTTTATTATACTGTTCGTTATCCCTTTATCGTTTCAATTCTGCATTTAATTTATTTTTTCATTCAAAATCTTCCTTTTCATTTTGTTCATTAATTCATTTCTTTCTTTATTTCTTTTGCCTTCCTTAAAATATTTGGTTTTATTCAGTTTACGCCTTAAATAATAATTATCGATTAATTATTTTCTTTTTCAGTGTTCGTCATTTCTCTACATTTCTTCATTAGGCCTTTTTTTCTTTCTTACTGTCTTTTGCTTTCTTTTATAATTAGTCTTCTTCATCACTGTTTCTCATTCTGCTTTTAAACCTTATACTTCTCTTTCTTGTTAATATTTGTTTCATTATTTATTTCTGTCGTCCGATTATCTATTTAATATTCCTTTTCATCTTGTATTTTCTTTCTTTCTAGTTTACTTTCATTTATCTCATGTATTCATTCTGTTTTCAATCAGTATGATATTTTCTTTCTTTCTCTCTGTCTCTCTTTCCATATTACGCTCTTCCTGATTTTGCATTTTTTTCAATTAATACTATTTCTCACTTCAAAGTAAATGGCTGACATTCTAGCATGTTACTTACGTTTTCTTTTTTTTCTCTCTTACAGTAATATATGTTCCTTTCTCATCTTCATTCCTTGCTATGTCTTTTAATGCTTATAAATGCCTATCCACATTGTCCTTCATTCAATCCTTCTTCGTTTTCGTAATTCCTTTACACATTTTTTTTATTTGTTTTTCCTTCTTTCTTCGATTTATTTTTGTTTTTCTCTTTAACCTTTATTCATTCATATCTATCTTTTTCCCATCTTTATTTATTTATTTATTTCGTTCTTGCTTTGCGTTTAGACGATTCATTTTTTTAAATTTATTTTCCTTTCATTCTGAATGCATTTTTCCAATTTCATTTCCCAAACAAAATTGTAGCTCAGTATGTCATTTTTTTTTCTTGTTTTTTTTTATTTGCAAGTGTTTCGGATTTTTAGCATCTTCTTTTTTTAAAAAAAGTCGAATGCAGTTCTATACTTTCATGTTGATTTCGTTTGATATCGTATATTCTTGTAATTTTACACAACAATGCTTCAATTCTAATTTATTCAGAAATATAAACCTGTGTGAAAAACTGGCCCTACTATTCGTATTTACGCATGGATAACATACATCCCATAATTTAAGTATAAAATAGTACCATCAGAAAATATCGTAAATATGTGTTTTTCAATGCTGTTTTATTGTTAAAGTTATTACACCAGGAGGGTTTTACAAAAAACATTTAACACTTATCAAACATTAAGTAATTTAGATCAGTATTTAGTTAATAAATAACATGCAAGGTTTATTTTATCTTCTATTTCATTGTAAATATAGGCACGGTGGTGTATTGGATATCGGATGGAAGAATCGGAGAGCCGAGTTCGAATTCCATTCGAATCCATTGCATTCACTTACATGCTAATACACTTGGGAAAGTTATTAATCATCTTCTTCTCCCTCCAACTATGGGTAAATAGCAGGAACGATTGAGTTCTATAGCCTTGGATGGCAACTGGTCTAGCAGAAAGAAATCACTGAATCCAAAACCGGCGGAGAGTCGTTTGGTGAAATTGTGATTGATACGGCCCTTCAAAAAGTCTGGCTGGTTCTTCACAAAGCCTTCACTACTATAATCATATCATATGTGTTGATGTCGGGGCTGTCGGTTCCTAAGAACTGAACTGCTTGACCCTCATACGTCGAATACGACAGGAGTGTACCATATATATATATATATATATATATATATATATATATATATATATATATATATATATATAGAGAGAGAGAGAGAGAGAGAGTGTGTGTATTGCGGCAGCAGATCATTATTTAAACATACATTATTAAATATAACACACAATGAATGTCTATTACGTCTTAGAAGCCGTATGTTTACTTTAATTCCGGGTGAAAATAAAGACAAAAATATTTGAATATTTTTTTATTAAGTTGGTAATTGATCTAAGACTTCGTCTGCTATTCCGCGACCGTTATCGACGAATAGCAATCTTCTATGTCAGTATGACAAAATATCATCTTCGATGCTGAATATCTTTGTTTAAATGCCTTTATAACCACTCTGAAGATGGCTTACATGAGCCGAAAGCTTAGATCAAAGATCAACTTAATAAAAAAAAAAATATCCAAATGTCGGACAATTTTTGTCTTTATTTTCACCTGAAATTAAAGCAAATATACGGTTCTTAACAGCTCATGATCAAACACAATAGACATTCATTGTCTGTTATACGACACATACAGCAATCGCTATCACTTGACTTAAAATATTTTTGCCCTTCTTTGCCTTTAAAGGAGTGCCCTTTGCCGTGCTGATGTTGCTACATGCCTTACTTCTTGCCTATCTGACACTGCGCATTTTTCTAAGCTCTATACTAAACATTAAATCTGTTACGAAAAAAGAACTAAACAAAATGAACACAAAACGATCAGCTTTAAAAAAAGGACTTGTAACTGGAAAAACCGAATGAAGAAAGAATGTTAACAACAAATACTTTTTCACACCCAACCCAGTTCTGCGGAATCAACGTTGAGTTTAAGCAAGCAAATGAGCCAATTAGAGTAAAGTGCCATGCAGTTTTAAATTGTTCCCACTGCAGCTACCGATTAATGCTAGTTAACATTCGTGTCAGTCAGCTGTTGGCTCTCACGCTGGCCAATAGAATCTTCCTGCCTATTCGTGGAAGCCAGCTACTGGCTCTCACTCCGGCCAGTACAGAATGGCCGCAAACTACATGAAAACTGCCGTAGAAGCATGAAAAAATCGATTATTTCCACTATCGATGGGAGTTGGGAAATGCAAAGTCGGTCTTGGCCTTCCTGCTAACTTGGATGACACAACACACACACACACACACACACACACACACACACACACACACACACACACATATATATATATATATATATATATATATATATATATATATATGACAAAAAATCGAAAGAGGAATGTGCAACGATATGTGCCCTGACCTGGCATCTCTGCTTCAGTCACTTTCCTACCGCTGTAATGCTGTAACGTGAGCTAGACTATCCATTTTTATATATGTATTTTCATGCTGTTTGATCTGATGAGCTTTCTTTGGTGCACAAAATTCATGAATTTAACCGTAGTACTAGATAAGAATATAGATCATATCATTTTACTTTTGAAATGGCTACATATAACTGTACTTTCGATTCTAATAGATTCATCTCTTGCGCTTCACACCTGTGGAATCCACTTTTGGCTTCTTGATTTCCAGTCACCTACCATATTCTAAAATCAAAACAGGTTCTTTTATTATCGTTTCTCCGCACTAATACCTTTACCATTTTCTTCACTTTCAGTAAATCTTTGCGTCTTTATCAGCTTACATGGGACTAAATTATTGAAAAAAGAAAACACATTTACATAGATAGATAGATAGATAGATAGATAGATAGATAGATAGATAGCATAAATCAAGAGATAAAAAGCCGGACTAACATCTAAATACAGCTTGAAAAATCAGATGGTTTACCGTATTCCATGTTGGGCATAATTCTTTATTTCATGATATATCTTGTGATGGATATTCAAACCACGATAAATTAAGCATAATCTTCACACATAACTGTTTATACTGAATCAATGCTTCGAATTTAACCAGAAATTTGCCTCCTCTCTCATATAGATATAATTAGTAAATACCTATATACACCTATATACATGTGTACATCCGCGCTCGTCTAATTTTAAATCACATGGTGCTGATAAAAAAAAAAAGAAATTCAATGTTAACAATAACAATAGCGAATAATTTGCTGTTAGTAGAATATGCACGAGAAACGAGAAGTTATAAGTGTGGTAAGAGAGGCAAATCAGGTGGTGGGAGTGGGGATAAATTCTAAATAGGCGGGAAATCGTACTTTTCTATTGACTGTAATTGAATGAACGTAACCTTTTAAATGCTTGACAATGCCTTTTTTTCTTTATAACAAATGATCGGTTGAATGTAAATTAGATACATATGTTTGTCTATGACAGTTATATAACTGCACATACATATATAATCATCTGTTTAAACTTATTTCAAATCATATATATATATATATATATATATATATATATATATATATATATATATATATATATATGGATCTTTAAAATAACTTGATATGAATTTTTATATATATATATATATATAAATTCATATCAAGTTATTTTAGAAGATCCATATTTTAAATAGATTTTTCTCCCAGACGTTGTCTGCTTAAAGTACATTAAATGTCCCTCTCTCTTTCTGTCTGTCTCTTTTTGTCTGTCTGTCTGTCTGTCTCTCTCTCTCTCTCTCTCTCTCTCTCTCTCTCTCTCTCTCTCTATATATATATATATATATATATATATATATATATATATATATATACTATTTCATAAGCGCAGATGTATGGATATGAGTTTGTGACCCTGGGTTTCGCGCTTTTGTCTGATGATCGCAGAAGCGTGAAACCCAGGATCACAAACTGAATATATATATATATATATATATACATGTATGTATGTATGCAACCTAATACAAGGTTGGAATGGATGGAATAAAATTACAGGAACCAAAAACTTTATTTTAAAAAAAATGTTCAGTACAAAGAAGAGAGAATAATATTTATTTAAAAATTATAGCATAACTATGATATAACATCACTAAAAAATAGTTTTGTTTCAACACTTCTGGTGTCTTGTCAAATGATGATGTTGAGTGTAAAATAAAAGTTTTTAAAGAGTTCAAAACCAACCACTACCCCAATTTATTAATGCTTTAAAATTAATATTATATTATACAGGAAAAAGTTTTAACTAATTCATCTCAAATTTATTATGTAATTAAAAAAAAATATTACGAATATTAAATTCTAAATCTGAGCTGAAGTAAGAGCTGCAATATTCTGCTAAAAAATTAGTTGCATAGACAGATATGAAATATTTGGCAAACGTGAAACTATAGCACGGGTTAAGCCAATAATTGTGATTCAAAATGGGCGGGAGACGTCTATGAATATGCTACTACAACGTCACAAGTAATCCTGACCGACGTTTTGAACGTTCTGGCCTTGGTGGAAAAGATTCATTACACCATATTACGCCCAAGAACTGTAACTATGGTCTGATCAGCACAGTTCACAGGGGGAATCTGTGGATTTGGTATGCGTCTGCATTAATGATTTACTGGCAGACCTTCCTGAGGGTTTGCACAGGAACAAAGGACTAGCCAGACATGCATAGATACACATACACACGCATATCTATCTATCTATCTATCTATATATATATATATATATATATATATATATATATATATATATATATGTATGTATGCATTTACGAATAAATCATAAATTTATATAAAATATTTATATATATATATATATATATATATATATATATATATATATATATATATATATATATATATATATATTTAATATCTGTATTTCTGT